ATAAAATTTTAATCGAACACTTAACATATTTATACACTTTTGATACATGAAAGAATACATAAATTTACTTTAGATACATTCTATCAAACATTTTATCAACCACCCCAAATACACTTTAGATACGCGGACAAATACATGAAGCACTTTATACAAAGTATATATAATTTTTCAAACATTTTATCAGACACTTTAGCTACACTCAAATACACACAAAAAGTAACACAAAATAGAATGTGAAAAAACAATAGTTACCTAACACACTTTATTTAGGCTATCCAAATCCCAGAAAACAGGTTAACGATGGAAAAGAGTATTAAGTAATATGGCCAGAGTAATTTTAGAAGTATCTCTTGAATAAATTAAACCTTGAGTCATTTCCTAAGTAATTACTTCTTCATATTCAAGAAGATGCTTAAAGAATCAAAACATAGAAGAAAATGGACCCTAAATTTTGATTGTTATACACACAAGGCAATATAAAATTCACAACAAAATGATAACATACCTGCTATGAAGAAATCTGGGCGGCCTTGGTTGTTATGTCATACTACCCCTGTCCGTGCAAGTTACAACATAGGAGACTTGGTTATGATATGTTAAGAAGCACAATTTGTATACTTAAAGTAAAAGAGAAGAAGAAAGGTTTAGAAGTGAGTAAATTATTTTGATTCTATAGTAGAGATATCCTGGAAATATGACAAAGTTTTTCTGGGACAAATGTAACACCCCCAAATTTCCCACCCAAAAATACATTTAAATAATGATTTATCAGAATTATGCAGCGGAAAATTCAAAGGGAAACTGGGGCGTTATCGCCACACTCGGCTCTCACATAACCGGGTGCACAGGCTATCCACCACCAACAAATTAAAATTTTCCATATTTAATTGTTCAACTACAATTCTTTAAAATTAAAACAAAAATAAATTACTTGATCACTTTAGTCTATGTGTTCTAGCGGAAGCTCTCGAAATCAACTTCAATATGATCCTCAATTCCTGCACAAATAAAGTACAGAAAGAAAAATACAAAGAAACAAAAATTAGCTGGAAATGCTAAGTAAGGCCCACCCAACCCTGTAAAATAATCATGTTTGATACATATATATCATTTTGTGAAAACATTTGGGAGGAAACCTCATAAAACATTTTATACAAACTTCTCGTCACAAAATCACATGTAAAATAATGATATTCCAAATATAGGTACATATTTCCAAATTATAATAATTCTAAAAGGTCAATATACATAAACCACCAAAATTCTCGTAAATATATTCCAAAACATAAATCATATGTAAAACCCAAATATTCGTCTCAAAATACTTCCAAATACTCATAATGAATATTCAACATAACCATATCAAATCCAATTAAAAAGTATTACTTTGAAATCTACAAATAATTTAATAATCTCAACCACATCAAATTCAATCCAATCCAAACAAATATAACTCATTCAAATAATCCAATAGTATGTATATCAATTTATCTCAATCAAGTCCAACCAAATAATCCAAATCATCTCAAGTCCAATGGAATCCAAGTCCAATTAAATCCAATGTAATCCAATCATCTAAACTCAATCAAATCCGATGGAAGCCGAACTCCTACCTTAAGTGTGCACACCCCCTAAAAGAGATTCCAAGCTCTCCGGGTAGTAAAAAGTCCGAGTAGTCGGGATTTTTCTACCGACTACTACAATTAAGCTGGGATGCTCCACTTTTGGGAGATCCCTGGTGGAATTAGACTTATAGCCATTACCACTCACCAAATCCACATTTCTCCGAGTACTCAAAATCGCAATTCAATCTCAAAGTTCCAATATCATAACCTCAATCAAAATGGATATGAAATCCAAATTCCACCAAATTATTCATAATGAAATTATTAACTCCAACTCATCATACTCAAATATACCATAAATAGTCCAAAATATAAGATACTTCATAAATAGCTCAAATCTCAATCCAATAACAATTCATATGTTATATCACCCAATATAAAAATACTCAAATCTCGAATATATATATAATTCACAATCATAATTGATACGTAAAATCTCGTTAACTATCATATACTCAAATGATCTCAAATAACTAGTCACAAATATATTTATATGGGAAAAGCATGAAATTTGGTTGACATAGTACTTACCTCGAATCGCGATAAATTCTAACTGAAGCTTTAACCTCGATCTTCACCAAATTCTCCTTCTAAGAATATTAAAATTCTATAGTTAAAAACTATTTTAGTCCGATCTCTTAAATCCCAATCATTCTGTCGACTTTTATTATTTGTGAATCGATATTCTAAGATGTATCTGATTAGTGTTTTTAACACAAAAGTTTATTTAATTTCATGTCGTTTGAAAATACACTCCAATTAGTCCACCTAGCGAATTTATAATTAGGTAGATCAGACCATTACCTTATTTTTCGGTCAGATTAAGATTTCTAATTCTAGCCATTTTCCTTAAATTCTTAATCAACTATACGGCTCAACACTTTAGTCACCCCAGTTCAGTTTATATGAAATATAAATGGCTCAGTAGTAATAAAAGAAGACAGAGCTGTGGAGCGTAACGTACTTCGTCGAAATGAAGCCGACGGGCGCAGGTGGTCCGGTGATTAAGCAGTTCCCGAAGGATGGATGTCCAGCGGCGATATGGCGAAGGGGAACTTCCAGAAGTCCCTTCTCTCCGGCGTGAAAGACCCTCAGGCCCGGGAGCTTTGCAACCTGGCGACTCTGTCTCTCCGGCGTTAATGGTGTCCGATGATTAAAGTTCGTCCAGTCCGGCGAGACACCTTTCTATAGCGACGGTGAAACTGCTCCGTGACAAATTATATGCCTGGTCAATGCGAGCGATCAGCTGCAGCTCTCCCTCCCTTGTTGCTTGTTGCAAGAACACAGCAGTCGGCGAATTAGTGACCCGGCGTAGAGGTCTGGCAGCAAGATCAGAACTTCCTCAGCGGTTCACAGAGACCTAGCGACATAGTCCGGTGACTCCCATCGGTGGCCTTCGTTCGCCGGCGCCCACAACGGAGGTTCGGCCGTTCAATTCTACAACGGTACGCTATGGAGTATTTTGTTTGTTTGGCAGAGTTGAGATGGCGTATATAAGGTGAAGTATATGTGTATAATTCCAGTAAGTAGGGATCTTAAGTGGCATTTATATACCCTTAGCCGATATATGCTTCTTGGCTCTAGAGTTTCATGAGCTTCCAAATCTTATCACATGTGTTATAACCTTATGTCAGAGTACGTTTGTTTTGATGTCTGATGTATTATATTGTTCGTCTATATTATATGTATTAGAATTCCATAGTACGAAGTATTATATTTACATTCGGTGCATGTATTATTAGGAGGGCAACACAGTTGCACGTAGAGGACAAGGACATGTGAATATGTGATGCATGAACACGTATGGTGTATGTGGCATATGACATTCACATGGGAGTGTTAATAAGAAGGTAGGTCACCTATGAGCTGAGTGTTCTCGTACCGTGAGAGTAACTGAGTAAGTATGATAATGTACATATATTATTATGGTTAGGTTCAAAAGTCAACTTTGCTATTTCTATACCAATTTTTATTAACTGATATCTTTAATTAAAATTGTTAAAAATGTCACTTTTATTATTTATACCATACATATTATTATCACTTGTAACGAAAATGTCATTTTTTGCTATTTAAGTCAAAGTCCAGTCTGGTCAATATATTTATTATAAAAATGTCACTTTTATTATTAAAACAATTTTATCTGATTAAAATGTCACCGATGTTAACATTTTATCTGATTCACTTAACTATTAAAATGTCACTTTCGTAACATTTTATCTGACTGATATAATTTATATATATATATATTTTAAATTTTCGGGGTGTCACATTCTACCCTCCTTAAAAGATGCTTCGTCCCCGAAGCATATGTTAAGAAAATTATCCACCCATACAATTAACAATTATCATGTGTTAGTTTATATTAAATACTTTATTAAATTTTTGGAGTGTCACATTCTACCCTCCTTAAAAGAATGCTTCGTCCCCGAAGCATTTGTTAAGAAAATTATTCACAGATACAATTAACAGTTATCATGTGTTAGTTTATATTAAATCCTTTTTATTAAATTTTAGGAGTGTCACATTCTACCCCTCCTTAAAAGAATGCTTCGTCCCCGAAGCATTTGTTAACAAAATTATTCACAGATACAATTAACAGTTATCATGTGTTAGTTTATATTAAATCCTTTTTATTAAATTTTAGGAGTGTCACATTCTACCCTCCTTAAAAGAATGCTTCGTCCCCGAAGCATTTAACTTATTCAAGAAAATAATTTATTCGTCAAAGATCAAACGATACATAATTCTCAAACATTTTTACTAATTATGAAAGTTAGGAATTGATATGTTTTCGCCTACTATTCTGAGGTTCTTTCATTGCGTTTTGGATGACGATTGAGTCCACGAGTTGGAGGGATTCCCTTCTTCCTTGAATGACACTCGAACACCCTATGCCCTAGCTTGTCACAATGAAAACATCGTACGAGCGTTCCATCACAGTATTTCCCAGGGTGATCTTTTCTACACTTTGAGCAGTAGAAGTGCATCTCTTCAGTTGAGTTCTTCTTCTTACGCTTCTGGCCTTGGCCTTGGTTGTTGATCTTGTTCCCGTTTCGGGTCTCCCCTGCATTATCTAGCTTGTGCCGTTTGCCTCCCTGTCTATTTTCTTCTTCGGTGCCCTTCCTTTCTCTCTTGAGTGTTTTCTTCTGGAGTTGTTGCACTCGATAGTGCTTGCCAGCTTTGTTGTAGGCATCGTTCAACGTTTGGCATTCTGAAACGCAAAGAGCTTTTTGTGTCTCGAAGTTCAGACCGCGTATAAACTTATTTGTTTTCTCGATTTCATTGGGAACTAGCGTGGGAGCAAATCGTGCGAGATTCAAGAATTTAGTGTGATACTCTTGGACAGTCATACCCACTTGCTTCAGGTGTAAGAATTCTTCATACTTCTCAGCTCTCACGTGCTCTGGGTAGAATCTTTTTCGCATTGCCTCCTTGAACGTCTCCCAAGAAAAGTCAGGTTGTTGACGCAACGTTGGGGCAGTCGTGGCCCACCAATTGTCTGCTTCTTGACGTAGATAGTACGCAGCCGTATTAATTCGTTGATCTGCAGGGCAGTTTATAGCATCGAAGAGTTTGTCGAAAGTGCGAATCCAATCCTCAAGGATGAGAGGATCTTCTTGGCCTAAATAACACGGGGGATTGCGCTTCGCAACAAGTTTTGCTACATCATTGCGGTTTTTGAGACGTTGTTGGTGTTGGTTCTGAACTAACACACTCCCGATAGTCTGGATGAGTTGAACCATATTTTGAGCCAACTCCGCATTCGTCGGTGCGGCGACATTGTCTTCTACTTTGTTTCTTGTTGACTTCATTGTCTACTTGAAAGAATAATGTTTAGGACATGAAGTATATCAAACGATATTCACAATTATACTACCTTACCTAATAACTCACTTTTCACATAATTCGGTAAGTTTCTCTAAAAGTCCAAACTCATTCTCAACTGAGTCAATAATGATATATCTCATATAAGTATAACTCAAACAATTCAAAGAACCACAAACTCCACCAAAATAGAAATTCAAAATCTCACAACCTCACCCGTATCCTACACTTATTCTTTCTTATTTAATAAGATTTATTATTCCTAAGGTTTTTTTTTTGAAGAGCTATTCGAAAACCAATAATTTTTTTTTATATATAAAGAGAACGTTTTAGAAAACTTCTTGGAAAAATTTCATATCTTTTAGAAAATATAGCTCTAAAAACAATTTTTAGGAAATCGTAAAAAAATGTTATAAAATTTTTTGAAAACCATATTCACTTAAGAAAAAAAATTGTTTGAAAATTCCCAGTTTAAAAACCACCAGGCTCTGATACCAACTTGTAACACCCCCAAATTTCCCACCCAAAAATACATTTAAATAATGATTTATCAGAATTATGCAGCGGAAAATTCAAAGGGAAACTGGGGCGTTACCGCCACACTCGGCTCTCACATAACCGGGTGCACAGGCTATCCACCACCAACAAATTAAAATTTTCCATATTTAATTGTTCAACTACAATTCTTTAAAATTAAAACAAAAATAAATTACTTGATCACTTTAGTCTATGTGTTCTAGCGGAAGCTCTCGAAATCAACTTCAATATGATCCTCAATTCCTGCACAAATAAAGTACAGAAAGAAAAATACAAAGAAACAAAAATTAGCTGGAAATGCTAAGTAAGGCCCACCCAACCCTGTAAAATAATCATGTTTGATACATATATATCATTTTGTGAAAACATTTGGGAGGAAACCTCATAAAACATTTTATACAAACTTCTCGTCACAAAATCACATGTAAAATAATGATATTCCAAATATAGGTACATATTTCCAAATTATAATAATTCTAAAAGGTCAATATACATAAACCACCAAAATTCTCGTAAATATATTCCAAAACATAAATCATATGTAAAACCCAAATATTCGTCTCAAAATACTTCCAAATACTCATAATGAATATTCAACATAACCATATCAAATCCAATTAAAAAGTATTACTTTGAAATCTACAAATAATTTAATAATCTCAACCACATCAAATTCAATCCAATCCAAACAAATATAACTCATTCAAATAATCCAATAGTATGTATATCAATTTATCTCAATCAAGTCCAACCAAATAATCCAAATCATCTCAAGTCCAATGGAATCCAAGTCCAATTAAATCCAATGTAATCCAATCATCTAAACTCAATCAAATCCGATGGAAGCCGAACTCCTACCTTAAGTGTGCACACCCCCTAAAAGAGATTCCAAGCTCTCCGGGTAGTAAAAAGTCCGAGTAGTCGGGATTTTTCTACCGACTACTACAATTAAGCTGGGATGCTCCACTTTTGGGAGATCCCTGGTGGAATTAGACTTATAGCCATTACCACTCACCAAATCCACATTTCTCCGAGTACTCAAAATCGCAATTCAATCTCAAAGTTCCAATATCATAACCTCAATCAAAATGGATATGAAATCCAAATTCCACCAAATTATTCATAATGAAATTATTAACTCCAACTCATCATACTCAAATATACCATAAATAGTCCAAAATATAAGATACTTCATAAATAGCTCAAATCTCAATCCAATAACAATTCATATGTTATATCACCCAATATAAAAATACTCAAATCTCGAATATATATATAATTCACAATCATAATTGATACGTAAAATCTCGTTAACTATCATATACTCAAATGATCTCAAATAACTAGTCACAAATATATTTATATGGGAAAAGCATGAAATTTGGTTGACATAGTACTTACCTCGAATCGCGATAAATTCTAACTGAAGCTTTAACCTCGATCTTCACCAAATTCTCCTTCTAAGAATATTAAAATTCTATAGTTAAAAACTATTTTAGTCCGATCTCTTAAATCCCAATCATTCTGTCGACTTTTATTATTTGTGAATCGATATTCTAAGATGTATCTGATTAGTGTTTTTAACACAAAAGTTTATTTAATTTCATGTCGTTTGAAAATACACTCCAATTAGTCCACCTAGCGAATTTATAATTAGGTAGATCAGACCATTACCTTATTTTTCGGTCAGATTAAGATTTCTAATTCTAGCCATTTTCCTTAAATTCTTAATCAACTATACGGCTCAACACTTTAGTCACCCCAGTTCAGTTTATATGAAATATAAATGGCTCAGTAGTAATAAAAGAAGACAGAGCTGTGGAGCGTAACGTACTTCGTCGAAATGAAGCCGACGGGCGCAGGTGGTCCGGTGATTAAGCAGTTCCCGAAGGATGGATGTCCAGCGGCGATATGGCGAAGGGGAACTTCCAGAAGTCCCTTCTCTCCGGCGTGAAAGACCCTCAGGCCCGGGAGCTTTGCAACCTGGCGACTCTGTCTCTCCGGCGTTAATGGTGTCCGATGATTAAAGTTCGTCCAGTCCGGCGAGACACCTTTCTATAGCGACGGTGAAACTGCTCCGTGACAAATTATATGCCTGGTCAATGCGAGCGATCAGCTGCAGCTCTCCCTCCCTTGTTGCTTGTTGCAAGAACACAGCAGTCGGCGAATTAGTGACCCGGCGTAGAGGTCTGGCAGCAAGATCAGAACTTCCTCAGCGGTTCACAGAGACCTAGCGACATAGTCCGGTGACTCCCATCGGTGGCCTTCGTTCGCCGGCGCCCACAACGGAGGTTCGGCCGTTCAATTCTACAACGGTACGCTATGGAGTATTTTGTTTGTTTGGCAGAGTTGAGATGGCGTATATAAGGTGAAGTATATGTGTATAATTCCAGTAAGTAGGGATCTTAAGTGGCATTTATATACCCTTAGCCGATATATGCTTCTTGGCTCTAGAGTTTCATGAGCTTCCAAATCTTATCACATGTGTTATAACCTTATGTCAGAGTACGTTTGTTTTGATGTCTGATGTATTATATTGTTCGTCTATATTATATGTATATTATATTTACATTCGGTGCATGTATTATTAGGAGGGCAACACAGTTGCACGTAGAGGACAAGGACATGTGAATATGTGATGCATGAACACGTATGGTGTATGTGGCATATGACATTCACATGGGAGTGTTAATAAGAAGGTAGGTCACCTATGAGCTGAGTGTTCTCGTACCGTGAGAGTAACTGAGTAAGTATGATAATGTACATATATTATTATGGTTAGGTTCAAAAGTCAACTTTGCTATTTCTATACCAATTTTTATTAACTGATATCTTTAATTAAAATTGTTAAAAATGTCACTTTTATTATTTATACCATACATATTATTATCACTTGTAATGAAAATGTCATTTTGGATTGTTTCTATTTTTATAATATACCTTCCCGGATTCCTCGGTCAATCATTTGCAATAAATCCAAAGCGTATCAGGCTCATTTAATGTGCATTTAAGAGCTTTCTTTGGACGGAATATCTTCTAGCCGTTGATGAATTTCCCAGCCGTTGAAGGTAGCTCGAGATTCTTCTAAGTGTTAGTCGGACTCTGATCGGAGTCTTCTGATACGTTGGATTCTGATGGCTTTCTGAAGAGCAGCTCTGATGTAGTTCCAAGTCGGGCTCTGGTGTGGGAACTCTGATGCTTGTCGGATGTTGAGTTCTGATGAAGCTATACACCGAACTCTGATGCTTTTCTGATGAGCAACTCTCATGAACTGCTGAGAGCAACTCTGATCAGATTCACAAGCGAGCAACTCTGATTGTTGACTATACTAATACTTACAACAGAAAGTACTAATACATAAAATCTAATTGGGTACTCTAAAATTCTAATCTAAATAACCTAGCATCATCAAAATCTAATTACATTTATTCCTTACAATTTCCCCATTTTTGATGATGCCAAAACCCTTAAACTATTTCCAGAGAAGTGCCTTTCACCATGAAGGAAAATAAGTTAAAAATAAACTTTCATTTAGAATCTTGGTGGGCACTTGGCATAGAAAATAGTAAGAGTAAGATACAATCAATCAGATAAGCAAAATAAGAAATAACACATATCAGAGCATAAATAATCAGAGTGCAAGTAGAAAGAATTTGAAGTTGCCATGCAAAATAGAGGCAAGCCGGTTATCTTATTAATAAAGGATATTTAAAGCAACAAGAGGATAGAGTTTAGATATCTTCCTCTTCTAGTTCAGCTTCCTTTGCTTCTATTTCTTTTAGATCAGCATTTACCCTGGCTCTGATTGCTGCAAGATTTCTGGGATTCTGATATTCTGACCAAGCAGGTTCAAGCTTGCAATCTAGATAATTTCTGATGGCTTCTGATAAGTCCTTGCCAGGGATCACTTTCATTCGCCACCAGTCTTCTGCTTCTTGCATTGAGCCACCATGGTTTATGATTATCAGCCCATCTTTATCCAGAATGAGATTCTCTTGTTGTATAGGGGTCATATGCTTCTTCATTTCTCTGAATTGAGCAGCATCAGGTTTAGCCAGGTCACTGTTGAGCCATTGGGCAAGAGTGAAAGTGGAGGCTGTCTTCTTTCCTTTCTTTGATCTTGGAGGAGTTGGTCTCTGAATACCAGCAGCAATCCTCTTTTGCCTTGCCCTTTCAAAGTATTCAGCAGGATCAGCAGTTCTGGTGCTAGTTCCTTCTGCAGCTCTGATGGCTCTAGCAGGTTCTCTGATTTCTTCCCCCTTTTTGGCATCAACAAGATCACCAAGTAGGAGTCCAATTTTCGAGAATTCTGTAGCATTGTTTTCTTTGATTGCTTCTAGGGCACCTGGGAGTGTCTGAGTCACAGAGGCCAGACCTTCTATCAGCTCCTTCTGTTTGCCCA